TAGCCACCATTCTTGTTCTCTGTGTGGATCACCATTGGAGGCTGGACAATTGGACAGCTTGGATTGCAGATCGTGATCATTGGAGTTCGTGAATCAGCAAAGGGTTTTACAGAATTCATCAAAGGTATAATTCTAATCACAGTTTCTATCTAAACACATTGCAGATCCTCGTTTGGGAATTGAAAAATTGTTTTATTTCCGCTGTGCATGATTAAGTAAATTCCCAACAAGCGCTACACCATGTTGGGCAACAGTGGCGATGGTGTTGAGCGGCGCACATCGCTACTAAGCGTAGCAGCGACGTCGTGCACAATTGCCTTGGTACCACCAGATCTCTTCTTCTTCTTGAGTTTGATTTCTTCAAAATGGATGCTATGGAGTTGTCGTTATGCTGGTAAATGATTTTTTTGTGCTCTTTGCAAAGATTTGGGTGATGATTGCAGCTACACAAAGCAGACAGTGGCATGTGTGTTAGTGGGTTCAGATAAACGTATAGTTGTGGGTTTGCACGAGTTTAGATAATGGTGAGGTGGTATTGCGCTGTGCAGTACAATGGTGGTGTGATGTGTGATATAGTAGTGGTGTTTGCGGTTGGTGGTGGTGCAGGTTGTGATGGTGTTGGCGGCGGCGGCGGCGGTGGTGGTGCTGAGGTGGTAGTTGTAATGGTAGTAGTGTTGACGGTGGTGGTGTAGTGTTGCTTGTGACCTACGCAAAATGACTTGTGTTGATATCTGGTGGTGGTGCCGGTGATGGTCACATGTCATTATGCATAAGTTACGGGCAAATGTTCACAGGTCACAAATAAAAAAGAACTGGTTGCAGATCATGTTTACACGACATATGTCACACTCTACAGGTCATACGTCATATTAAGACTTGACAAAACTCTTAGTACTGAATTGGACCCGAACTGAATCGAATGGTTGTTTTTAAGTAAAATAATCGAACGGGCATTTAAATGGTGAACCGACGGGTTCAGTTCGGTTCTAGACCAAGAACCAAATAATCGAATAAAACTGAATCTCCCTAAATTTTTATATTAAATAAATCAAATTATTTTAATTTTTTAATAAATAAATTTGCTAACTATTAAATAGTGAGTAAGTACTAGCAATATTTAAAAATATTTCAATTTTTATGTTGATTTGAAGGCCTGAAGCAAATGAATCAATGAGATGAAATCACCGATATTTTAGTATTACTATTTATTTTTTTGGTAATTTGTGTATATTGGTGAATGATCTTATTATACAACTTGTTATTTGTATAATTTTATATCGGACAGCATATTTTATAAGAGTTAAGATTGAATATGTCATTAGTTAAATTAATGTAGTTTTTTTTTATAAATATTAGAAAATTTAATTATGGTACATGACTCGGAAATCAAATGGAACCGAATCAAATTGAATGGAATGAAGTTGAATCAAAGACCCCGTGATTCTACTTACTAAATACTCGAAAATTTGGGTTCAGCTCGATTCTCTTTAGAACCATCCCTAGGTCATATTGTATAGGTCCCAAATCAATGTTAACATACCACATATCAAAATCAACTAGTCACAGATGTTATGTCACATGTCTTTGTGCATTGATAATAGGTCACAAATCACAATTCATTGTTACAAGTAACAGTTCACAGGTCACATGTTATATTGCATATGTAATAGATCAATGTCCATAAGTTATAAATACAATAGAACTTGTCATAGGTCATGGACCAATATCACATGTAACAGTTTACATGTCACATGTCATAGGTCACAGGTCATAAATTCAAGAGAACTGGCCACATGCCATTGATTTTTTCGACCTCAGTTGTTACCGTTGCCTTAAAAAATTCTGATACACAATACCGACAACTTCCAATTTGTGATTTCAATATTTTGCAAGTTTATAACTAGATTTCGATGATGAAAATTGAAGTTAGTTGCTCCGATGAGTTCTCTGTATATTTCTCTTTGTTTGATCTTCTAATATACGGTGCCAACAATCCAATTTGTGACATCAATCGTCCATTGATTTTTTATTAATCAGATTCCGACTGTGAGAATCAAAATTATTTGCTCAAGCGAGTTCTCTGCAGTAATTAATCTATTTGTACAACTTTTTTTTTTTACACCTTTGTTGACAACCCGGTGACATAAAAGTGTTATAATGGTTAGATTACATGTGTGAGATATGAAAAATGATGTGAAATTGTGTTAAATGTAAATTCGGTAAGTCGGGATCTAAACGAGGATATACATGTAACTAGATTATTTATGTAGATTTATCTTTGTTTTAGATATTTTGATACACAATGTTGACAATTTTCAATTTGTAAAATCAATCGTCAGACGAGTTTCAATTAACCGATTTTGGCGATGAGAATCGAAGTTATTTACTCCAACTAGTTCTTTGTAGATTTTCTTTTTGTTCAATCGTCACA